TAACTTCAAATTTTCTCGATTTTTCAAATAATTTCTTCAAAATTTACCTTTAAAATTCATGGAATTTTCTTGAAAACCCTTTAAGGTTTTTTGAAAGGGAAGGGGTCCAAAAATTAAATTTTAAAGTTTATGTAAATAGTCTAAAATTTAGGGCGGTTGGTCGTGGGTCTGTTGAATGCGGCTTCCCCATTTTATGGGGTGACCGAAACTTATGGATTCCAAAGGTTTCGGCCATGTGGCGTTTGCGTCGAGCCATTCAACTGATGCTATAATTCATTGTGCTGCTGCTGCTTAAAACAATCTCATTTACTGTGAAAATGTGTGCTGCTTTCAACAAATTCATGAATTGGTCTGCTTTGCTTACTTGAAACAAACTCAGTTGCTGTGCAAAATGTGTACTGCTTTCAACAAATTTCATGCACAGTGCTTTGCTTGCTAAAATATCCTTTGTAACGTTCGCGGTTTGATAAACCGGAACGATAACTACAACATACATGTAAACTTGTAAAGTTTATTTAAAATACACATGTACATAAAATTAAATTGTAAGGTTAATTACCGATTGCGGTGTACCCGTAACGGCCATTATAATGCTTATTATAAGAACATGTAATATTATGCTTTCATGTTGGTTGCTGCTGCTGCTGCTTGTTGTTATTTGGGGTCGCCCTTTTACGCTTGGCGACCCCCTGCTGCTTTAAATATGCCACGACCAACAAACGCCAATATCAAAATAAACGTGTATAAAATCATGTTTGTTTTATTTTCCTCTATATAAATAATTGACCTCGTTTTAGAAATTGTTCATACGTAGAGCATGTTCTTGCGGAATCATCTGAGAGATATATACTCTGTATGCAGGTGATGGGGGTATATTGCTGCATATAAGTAAGGGAAGTTGACAGTAGAAAAGTTAAGTCATCACGTTTATGATATAGCTTGGTTGTTAGATTACCATTAACGTCTTTTTCAAGTAAAATATATCCAAGTATATAACAGATGTGTCAGACTCTGTGGTATCTTTTATCTCAAGCTCACCAGTACATATCGTATCGACGTAGGAATGGAAATTGCCATTGTTAATTGATATGAATTTGACAGAATAAAAAACGGAATTTTTCACATAATACTTGCAATCACGCACTTATATATTAAGTATCACTTAACAATATACATGTATATGCTTTCAACTTTTCTGAGGCTAATAAAAATCAATTCGGTGTAAAAGTCATAAGCATAGCATGGTAGCGAGTGACACCTAACAACGGTGTTAATAACCTTCACCTGCCGTTAGTATATTTCTGTTTGTTCAGCATATTTTACACATATGTATATTTTTTCTGACCCAGTTAAGCTATATTTAATTGCTTAATCAAGTCTTAAATCATATCATGGATACCTAATTAGACATCTGCAGACAAATTTTTTTATTGTGTATGCATTATAAAGGAGTGAGGGTTTACAGTTTCAATTATCTTTTTCACAAATGTATCCCAGTTTTCCGCTGCATGTAGCATCTCCCCAATAAAATGCCTTTTTATCATGATTAAAGAAACACAGACATCTTTCTATGTGGGACGATTAGGCTCCGATGGATAAAAGAAGGTGTATCCAATTTTTTCATTGGTTGATTCCCATTTCCAATCACCAACTTTTCTCAAAGTGTTTCCACCAATCCACCAATACCATAGGTTATATGCAACATAAATTATGTAAATCAAAGAAAGTTATGAAAAATGTCAATTGATTTATTTAAGAAATATGAACTAAAAATATTTGATCAACCATACAATAATTGTTCAAGTTCTAAAAAGAGAATATTCTTTAAAAAATTAGTTGGCTTGATCTTGCTTTTTGGGAAAGCTTACCATATGAGTTATACTAAAATATGATTCATTTTATGTCTAATGTTTTCCCTTAAATTTTCCCTTAAATTTTACAAACATACACATGCATTTATTGCAATTATTTTACACGAAATATACGTACGAAAAGTCAACAGTTTCTACAGAACTGATTAACTTAATTATACTTATGGTACTTGGACAAAATCCTTGTTATGCAAAAATACTTGTAAACAATGATTTCTTTTTTTTAATTATAATTAAAACATTGCGGAAATTGATTTTTGAACAAGTAAGCGCAGATTTTATTTAGTGCATTTACGTATGTAACTAGTTTTATCTACATGTGCAAATCAGATAGCGTGGTACTTGAATTAGCGAATATTGCTTTCCGCGAAAGGCGACACAACAAATACACAGATAAATGTTAAACGCTTACAGTGCTCACGTAACATCCCAATATCTTGATTTGCAATTAATTTAATATTCTTTAATTACTTAAAGCAAAGAGTTGCTGGATAATCTAGTCATTTTCCCTAGGTGTTTCCACTTTAGCAAGATAGGCATTTCTTGTGTTGCATGCAACCTAAAAAAAATTAAATAATGTAACAGAAAATGTAAAATATAACATATTTACATTCTAATGAAAAGAAAAATCAAATTGGAACAAAATCAAGTTGTTAATAAGAATATCGTGTAAAATTACAATAAACTAGTAATTCTTAAAGGCAAATACATTGCTTAAAGATACATGTATACGTACTTTGCTTTCAAACCAACTTTTTTTGTCCATCCCAAACATATAACAATGTCCATTGAATTCTATCCACGGATAACTACACATAGTCCCATCAAACCCTGCAAAATGCAGTACTTAAGTTAAACAGGTCAGATTATTCAAAATTATACAAATCTGAGAAAACGTCGACATTGTTTCAAAACAATTGTTGTAAAACTAGCCATACCAACAGCAACGAAGAAGCCATAAACAATGCAAAAAAGAAATACAGAACTCTTGAAATGCATTCTAAAAAGAAAATATTGCCTTGCTTTATTATTCTAACAAAAATTTTAAATCAATTTCGTTTTATATTGTATCAAAATTTGAAATAAATACTGCAACAGCTCGAAACATGTTGACTTACTGATTTTGGAAATAAGATTTATGACTACTACCGGTATATAAATTACTAGACTTGATAAACCAGTACTAGAATTTGATTTAATACCATTTTCGTTCAAAGTTGTGATAGTAAAAATGCAAATAAATCATATTTATTAATTCTGGCTCAATCATAAGGTAGTTCATTACACGTGTGTTAAAAAATTTATAATTCAATGCTTGACAAACATACATGTGCAGATGTGTAGATGAATGCTTGATTTCAACAAAAAGTAGACAAAATAATTTTTGTACAGAAAGTTTTGAAATCACAAACTGGAAATCGAAAGGTGATGATAGAACTGGAGATCGAAAGGTGATGATAGAAAGAAAAACATAAGCAAATGTTTCAATTAAATTGTTTTAACCAGCCAGACCTACCATTTTAAAAGTTTCCCTTATTTCTATTAACAACTTACTGCAAATACCGGTACATGTAAAACAAATTATTTGAAAGGAGATGAATGAATACGACGAGCAAAAAGCCTATAGCATTACAAACCTGAAGGTGAAAAAAATCTCAAATTTTCCTTTGATATTTCATCTAACACTTATACAGTGTATATAATTTATGTGGAATTTCTTCCATTTGCAAAAATCTTACAAAGATTATTTTTCAGAGAAATAGTATATACACACACTAAATAATTTTTCACACTATGATAGTACTCTATTTTTCTAAATGAGTGGATCTTCGTTCCATTTTTTTGAAAGTCAATCCTCAAAGTTTGCATAAATATAAATATTTTTGGTTTTCAAAATTATGGAGCGAAGACCCACCATATTTTTTATACACTTTAATGACATAACATTCGCATCTATTTGAGAAATACTAGATGTCCATTTGAACAATTGTCACAAACATGATTTTTAAATGCCGATATCCATCAGGGCTGTTATGCAGTGGTTAGCGTGCTCACTGGTCCTAAAAGAAAATGATACTGAGGATTAAAATAATAACTCAGTGAAGTTTGTTTGTTTGATTAATTGATTAATTGTATGTTATCTAACGCCTCATTCGAGAATATTATTGTTTTACAAACAGCGTGACAGTTTGCTTGATGGGGCGTGCTAAAATTTTGTGTGCTGGTTATCATTTTGCTCATCGATTGGATCAATGAAATCAATACTAATTTGCATATATGAAACAATAGCCTGATAATACTGACCAATCACATTGAATGATTGTTTACCAGTACAGCATTTGTAGTCAGCAGCAACACGTGGTCAGTCAAAGCCCATTTTCTGTCTTCAAAAAAGCATACATGTATTATATTTGTTGTGATTTGACCGGATGGGTTTTTAGATATGTATAAGAAAATTTAAAGTATGGAATTAGTAAGGCTTACTCTGTTTCTGTTGTACTATATATGTACGTTGCTCTATCAATATCATCATTATAGGAAGTAAAACTTGCTTTGTCCGTTCACGTGTTATTGTTGTTTATTCAATGCGATTGGTTAGTATTGTCAGGGGTATTGCTGTGTTCTGTGTGTCATATGCAAAGTATTATTGATTTCATTGAAATCAAACATCCAATCGATGAGTAAAATGATAATCAGGCATACGAAATTTCAGCACGCCCTATCAAGCAAACTGTCACGCTGTTTGTAAAACAATAATATTTCACTCATGTAGAAACGTCACCATATGTACCAGTGAAGGTCTTCAAAATTCACCATGTATACCGGTGAATGTCCTCAAATTTTGACCTTTACTCGGCATTTACGGCCATTGAGCAGTGAGGAATCTTTATCGTGGCAACACCTATTGTGACATGGGGTCTCGGTTTGTAAAGTCTCATCCGAAAAACCCACAACTTTCACTTAAGTAAGTAAGTAAGTAAATTCTATTTATAGTCGGATTACATACACATAACAAAAAACATGAGCTATAAAGCTCTTTTGCCGACTAAAAAAATAAAAACATATTTATAATAAAATGTACATATATACACATAAGAGCACAAATATCACATTAAAGTTTCACAAAGACAGAAGTTCATATAAACACACAAGTGTAACCAAAGACATTGATAAACAGACAAAAAAAGAAAAGAAAGAAATAAAAGACAAAACATTTGAGCAACACACAAAGAAAATAAAAGAGTCAACATAAGAGAACAACAAGTACTTAAAACAAACTTCAAGGTACCAAGCGCATGGCGAAGGAACAGTTGCATAATTTTTTTTATCGAAATAGGTCAGGCACGGCCTAGATTCGATCTCACGACCTTCCGATCACGGAGCAAGCGCTCTACCGACCGAGATACCTTGACGGAAAGTTTGTTTTAAATCACTGCTTGAAAGTATGTGATATGAAATTCAGATTTGAAATCTTGAAACGGTCATGATTGTAAATATGACAAACCAGGGTTGAATACAAAGAGTTTTTCAACATATATAAATCACCATATACCGTTGAAGGGCTTTAAATTAAGACCTTACTTGTCACCCAGGGCCATTAAGTAGGTTCTTCTTTATTGTGCCAAAGCCTACCGTGACACGGGGCCGCAGTTTTTAAGGTATTTTCCGAAGGAACCGCATTTTTAAATTCAATGTCGAGCAGCTCGGCGAAAGAGCATTTACTTCCTAACTATTAATTATCGACTGAGGTCAGTCGCGGCCGTAATAGTAATATGCAATATGACGAGGAAAAAAACCAAAGACATTTCTTGTAACGCAATTCTGATTTCGAATAGCTACAGACCATTTTTATAAATCATTTTGTGGCTTTTTCCCAAACTAAATGGTTACTTTCATTTACAACAGCAAATATGAAAAATTGAACATCCTTATATTGGTAAAGGACTTTTGCGAGGAGCAGAGTTGACGGCTTACTTTTACGCTAGGGCAATATATGGAAGCTCTTTTTCGGTTTAATTACTTAGCTCAAAATTGAATTTAACGAAAATAACGGGTTATTTCAATACACAAACAAGTTGTCCTTGAACAGTTGAAAAAAAAAGACTACCATCCAAGCATCAACTCCCGGCCCTCATATGTTAGTGCCGCTAACACCATACCTATGACAACTAGAAAGATTTTCTCATCTTTTGTCAATTCTGTACCTCCGTACAGGATTCAGGTTTAAATGTCAAAGTAAACCGTCAACTGTAGAAGTGCTTCTCACAAAAGTCCATTTATTGCAGGAACATACTTTATTCAATAAAAGTAAAAAACATAACCATATGTTAACATTTGCAAAACAAATTTTTATGGAATCATCAAAAAAGAAATGAGGATGAAAAGTAGATTTAATTTATTTTTGTTTTTAAATTTTTTTTTTCAAATTTGACATTTATATACGTAGAAGTCGTAAATTTGCTTACATTGTCATTAGTCAGTTGCAAAATTATTTTGTTAAAAAACAATCTGATTGTACACACAAGTACTCTGAAGTTGATATCAAAAAGATACTTGAGTTTCTAATTGACAATATATATGTTGTTTTTGGAAACCAGATCTTCCCACGGTCCATTAGAATTCGAATGGGTTCCACTTTCGCCCCGTTATTAGGAGACCAATTTTGCATTCATATGAAGCAAAATTTGTCAAAAATCTTATACGTGAAAAGAAAAAAAAAACACCTGCTGTGGCCTTCAACTCGACATTTAGTTATATCGACTACGTATTGTCAATTAATAACAATTGTAATTTTCATTCTTATGTCGATACGATATATCCTTGTGAGCTTGAGATAAAAATACAACAGAGTGTGATACATCTGTTTCATATTTGGATATTTTATTTGAAAAAGATGTTTTGAGTTCATGGTATTCTAACAACCAAGCTCTATGATAAACGTGATGACTTTAACTTTTCAATAGCCAAATTCCCTTTCTTATGCAGCAATATACATTCATCACCTGCATACGGAGTTTATTTATCTCAGTTGATTCGAAATGCAGGAGCATACTTTATGTATGAACAATTTCTAAAACGAGGTATATTATTTACAAACAAGTTGAAGAAACAAGAATATTATCAGTCTCGGTAAAAGGCATCATTTCGTAAGTTCTATGGTAGATACAATGCCCTTGTCAGCGAATACAATTTACAATTGAGTTAAATGCTGACTGGCGTTTTTCACACTAGTCGTTGGTCCTTTAATTATAGACTTGGCTACTTTTTTAAGATGACCTTACTAGCTGACTACTGTGCACTTAGATAGGAAGCCTTGACCATGACTGAAACTTGTTTTCATCCCTGTGCTTGGATTTACCATTATCTTTACTACACCTTAAAATGATACAACATTAATAAACTGATCAATCTTTTTCAAAATATACATTACTCAGTTAGTTACTGTCTCACTGTCTTTAAACCACCAAACAATTACTTTAAAATACAAAACTGTATTAATTGAGATAGTACACTATGACTCCCTGGAGCTGTCTGTTAGCAGAATTCACAACACAAGAAAACTTGCACATTTATAACTTTTAATATGCAGACAAAGAAACAGACAATAAATCAAAATATGGTGGAAAAGGTCGCATATAAAAATTTTGGGAAACTGGGGAGGCGGCCAGTGTTCCAATTTAACTACCCAATGTAGGGGACCCACTGGGAGCCCTATGTGAACATAGGTGCTCAGAGCCTGAACGAATCACCGCGTTCTGAGGTGGGTAGTGATGCCTGTCCTTCTTGCACGTCTCCTGAGAGCTACCTGGTATAATGCATGAAAGGGAGGACCCAGTAGACTGCCCTACAGTTGCCCCCAAAGAACATGCCCCAGCCTGTAGCATCCCCTCCCTAGGTAGGGAGGTTGATGAGGCACCAGCAATGGACTAGCTGTGAGCCTTTCTATTACAATTAACCTTTAAGTACTGCCTTTTGTTACTAACTTTTTTAACCAACTTGATAGTAAATA